TTGTAGGAGGCTGTTTGGGAGCTGTTAATTGCAGTATGAGAGCTGTTTGAAGTTGTCAATAGCTGTAGGATGCTGTAGGAAGCGCTGAAGTTGCTGTTTGGAGTTTCTAGCTGCTGTCTAGAGTTGTAGGAAGCCTTAGGATCGTTGTTTGGAGTTTCTAGCTGCCATTACGACTCATTTTGTTGTTTTAGAATTACTGTTTTTTTTCTTTTCCTGCAATTTATTTAAATTTATTGCAAATTATATTATGTTTTTTGAGCTAACCACGTAGCGGGAATAGCGAGAATATGACAGGTACGCGTGTACAGTTTATTTATTGTCATTTTTATCATTGTAATTTACTCTTGCTTTAATATATATCACGCATGTCTGGTTGCAATTTAATTTTCAAAGCAAAATAATTTTTTCAAATTTAAACAACATTTTCAAAACAAAACAAAAAGCATAACACGTCCTTTTGAATTTGTGGGAGTCCCTCGGATGGGGTAACCCACAGTTGCTAATGAGATCTCCCCAGTTTAAATGAGCTTAACAACTCTTTTAAACTAAGTAAATTAAAAAAAAATAATGGTACTGAAATGAGGGAACCGTGGGATCTTAACCAATGTCGCTCTAATCAACTTTAACCCTCCTTTCTCTCATAATGCTTGAATAATAACAAAACTTGTCATTTGAACACACCTGATAAAACTTTTTGAACCTTAGACTTTAGAGTTATTACTTCAATAAGGAGCTCAGTGCCAAATTTATGAGCAGCACGACAAGGAGCTTGGATCGAGCAACAAGAGGACCTTCTTCAACATTATCTCTTCTTAGTCTAAATAACAACTTATAGGATTTCAAGGTAGCTCACCTAGCATGACGTAAATCCTCCCTCTTTTTACGCTTTTGTGCAACCATGTTGTGCAGTGTAAGTCTTAACTCACCTAAGGTTTCGAGGTTGCCGTCCGGTATGATGTAAATCCTGCTATCTCTGCGGGCTATTTGCATAATCGGATATTATGTAAATATAAGTCCCAAATAATAAAATTGACAGGATTGAACACTCGAATAATATCATTTTTTAACCGCAGCCACACAGTAGGATAGTTTAGGTAGTCACTAAGGGTTCTCCTCAGGAACCGTGACGTCCACTATCTTTTCATTCTTTTGGACTCCTGAAAATAAATGTTCCTATTTGAGTCACTCTCACTTGCATTTCCACGTCCTACTGTGAAAAACTAAACTTTGAATTCTTAAAGACTAGTACTTTTGATCATCATAGAGAGTTTTCTCAAGTGACATCCGTCATTTGGGATGTAATTAACTATAGGGGTTTGCCTCTATAGGGAACTTGGAATCCAGGTAAAATAAACCCTACTTAAACTTTATATTAGATAGGGGAACTTGCCGGTCACACATAAAAAGTTCGCAGACCAAATGGATGTCACAAATCTCTTAGTTTGTAGGATTGAGTTCATCGCCAAGGTATAAACTTATTTTTCAGGAAGGTGTAGTATTCGCGGTATCAAACACGATTTTGCAAACTATTAAACTAAAGAGATACATTTTGTCTCATTCTTCGAAAATTAAAACATACTACTTTCAAAAACCAACTATATATCTCTTATATTAAATTAAATTTAAAATTATTTTCAAAATAAAAAAGTTGGCCGACAGTATTCATACAATATTATTGATGTAATTACATTTTTATAAAATCAATATCTTTTTACCACACAAAACTATGAAGATACTTCTCCATTTTAACTGGTTTGGTTTAACTATAGAAGTTATGTGTCCATTATTTGTTTGATCAAGTATTATATGTTAAAATTATACTCATTAAAATTATATATCATATATGCAAGCTATGTTTTACTAATTATAACGCCTCAATTTCTAAATATTTTCTTCCAGTAATTTATTTTTTCTCTTATTTTAATATATACCTACTAATTATAACTATGTCACCTGTAAAAAAAAAAAACACTAATGCGTCCTGCTTTGATTTTTCTTTAAAAATATCTCTATAATCAATATAAAAAAGATATGAACTCTTCTTTGATTCTCTATCATACCTTTAATTTTTGATATTTCGCAACCATTTCTAGTACTAATCAATGCTTCATTATATATATTTGTAGTAACATTAATATATTTTTGACATACTTATGTTTTTTAACCCACGAAATTAACTATGATGGTATTGGATCATTTGCCTTCTCAATATGGATAAAATGACAAATGATGATCATTTACTTTGTTATCTATTCTTCTCCATGACATCTCTTCATAAAAAAAATAGATAAATAAAATAATCGATCTTCCTTCCATGAAACTAAATGGGTTTTTTGAAATTCTTGTTATTTTTTTGAGCTTATATTTATTGTTTTCTGTCGTATTATGAAATATAATTTTGATTTCTCTATGGTCAACATAATTTTAAATGTCATCTTTATTCCTAAATTTTGATCTTAAAATATATTTTTCTCCAATCATTTGATATTTTAATATTCAAAATTTCATTATAAAATATGTTAATCAAATCATTGCAATATCCTATGTAACTTTACAAATCATAATAGGTATTTCGAAATTAGAAGCCTTATATTTATGCATCTTATCAGAGCTTACTCCAATTTATTTTTTCAATAAATCTATAATATAATTCATTATATTTTTTTATCATACATTTCAGAAATAATTTTATTTTTAACTTTCCCATGTAATACATCATTGAAGGAACATTTTCATCTTTCAGTCCATTCTCATCAATATCTTACTAGCTTTTATTGTATCTATCATTTATTACTTATTTTTGCTTCTCTATATTTATAGTTCATTTAATACTGAACCTATCACACAAATCTTCCAAAGTTATCATTATTGTTTTACAATTTACACTAATTATATGTCTATTTGCTTTCTTATATTCATTATGCATATCAATAATATTCAATTTTTAATCTTTAGTCTTTTCCTTCATAATCATTTACACCACATCAATTTGTTGCTAAATCTCTCTTTATATTATGATGTCAAGGTTTTTTCATAGACTGTCCTTCTAAATCCATTAACTCAAATAATCTAATAACTTTGATCTTTTAGTTCTTTATCCACTATTAATGAAATTCCGCTTTTATTGTAAATATTTATAGCATACAATAATTTATAACCTCCTCAAATTTTTGTTGGTGTAAACTGTAAACTAGTTTAATTGGTAGGGGTCTTTGATTTTTTCACCAAGATCTTATGCTTTGTCCTCGTCGATGCCATAATTAACAAAGTTTTGAGAACTTTGTTGTGGGCATAAAAACTCCAATATCCTTAATTTTTTTTTCCCCTTTTTCTTTAGGTTTTATATAAATATTGATTTTGAATCTTCTTCTTATCATAGTATTCACCAATTTCTTTGTCTTATTCAGTGTTCTCAAGTTTTATGCTCTTCATCTAATCTTAGATTTAAAGAATTAGAGCCCATACTTATTTTTCACCTAAATCGGGCTAACTTGCGACGTGTCTCTTAAGGGTGACATCCTACTCCATTTTAATGTGTTCCTTCATTAAATCAAGTTAACTTGTACGCCACTTAGGGTGGCATGCTTCGCATTATAATAAGGTTAGGTCATGGAGCATTGCTTCTCAGTAGAGTGTGCATTATTTGGTCAAACCGAAAAATCAAATCGAACCGAATAAGTTTGGTTAATTTGGTTTGATTCCAAAAATACATTTCGGTTTTTGAGTTTTAACTCCTCAATATCTAGTTTTCAGTTATTAGTTTGGTTTTGTAATTCATTTAACTGAAAAACTGAAATTTTAAAATTAAATGGAAGATTCATGAGAAAAGTGATATTATATATGTAAGATAAGTAATTCTTAATGTTTATTCATAACTCAATTCAAACTAATGACTAAATTTTGGTTTCTTTAAAATCAAACCATTTAAATCTTATTAAATTTCAGTTTAGTATCGGTTCAGTTTTATAAAATTTTGATTGGTTCGGTTTTTCATTCCAGAGAACGCTAATAACACTAGCAAAATTCAAATTTAAATTCATTTCATTATATTTGAATTGAGTTTTACAATTAGTTGTCAATTTGACATCAAGTGTCAAATTTTTACATTTGGGTAGAGCTAACTATGATAATGATAAAGAAATGCCATATGATAATAATATTTGAAAATCAAAGTTGATAGTGACACAGAGAATTGGATTTAATAGATGGAGGAATTGTAACGACGATGATTTGTCATACAAAGAGGCTCATCTTTTGTTAAAAGCAAAATTCAAGACAACTTGTGCTACAATCAATTTGTAGCCTAATCATATCAACAAGCCTAGCCTAGTTTGACAAATATGTTGGCTTCAATGTTACATTCATCAAATGGTGAATTTGGAGGTGGGCGTGGCAAGCTCTATTCAAGACAACTCGTATTAGCCTAGTTTGACGAATATATTGGCCCAATGTTACGTTCATTAAACATTGAAGTCGGAGGTGAGCACGGCAAGCTCTATTCAAAACAACTCATGTCACAAAAAACTTTGTAGCCTAATTATATCAACAAGCCTAGCCTAGCTCGACAAATATGTAGGCTCTAATATCATGTTCATCAAACCGTGAAGTTGGGGGTGGGCGTGGCAAGCTCTATTCAAGACAACTCGTGTCACAAACAATTTGTAGTCTTATCATATCAACAAGCCTAGCCTAGTTTGACGAATATGCTAGCTCCAATGTTATGTTTATCAAATAATGAAGTCAGAAGTAGGCACGACACCCTCCCCCTGCTGCACGACTAAGATGAAAAGATGGCACTCAAAGATAAGGCACTAGTGTTCTTTAATTGCTAATATGTACAATGTATAAAAGTTTCCTTTTCAAATTAAAAACTATATATATATATATATATATATATATATATATTAAGAGCTAAAAAAGCCTAGTTCTTTCTTCATGCATACACAACTTGCCATTATGTTTCTTGTACTAACATATTGTCTTTCTTTCTTATATTGTAGGCCATGGCTTATGCATTTTTTCAGGGAGGTAAGCCTAAATGATCTTTCATTAATTTCATGACAAAATTGCAATCACAATACTGTCTAAAATTTAATCAGGATGAGTTTTCTGTAAGCATGGTAAGTGAAATTCTACGTGGCATTCATCCCAATTATTATAATGGTGGGGCATTTATATACATACCACACAGCTCTTATGTATTTACATATCAACTCCAAAATACCATTTTTACTAACTATTTAAAAGCAAAATGCCAGCTTTTCATACATAGATTTATAAATGTGTGGTGCGCATGTAAATTTCTCTTATAAAATTCAATAATTCATCTTGATCAAATTAAAGTCAGAATATTTTAAATCTATCTTCATTGCATTTTAATTTTTTATTTTTGGTTTTTTCAGCAAGGGGATGAACTCCAGCAGAAGCAGAGGTGCAGGATCTGTCCTTGAGAGCCCTTTGAACAGCATGACAAAAACTCAAGTTCTTCCATTACTGCACCTCTTCCTTCTTTTATTGCTCTTATTATTCAATTCTTAGTTTTTCAGTGTTCATCAGTATCAGTTTTGTAGAAGGAATATTGAATGAATGATTATATATATATAATCATTGGTTTTGTGGACATGGTGGCAAAATGTGATTCCAACAAAAAAAAAAAAAGGTATTTTTGCAAATATGCATTATTTAAGGATGCATGATGAGCTTGTTGTTTTTGTAAAAGATTATTTATTTGCAGCTTTATTGTTAAATTATACTTTTTATGTGACAAATTAAAATTTTGGAAGGTTATATGAAGTTGAAGCATTTGGGGTGGTGATTTCAGAATTTTGAAGATGAGAGGAGGGTGGCCCTTCCAGTGTCTTGTCTAAGTGGCAGGACAAAACATTTAGTGGAAATAAATGTTATATAGTGCATGAATGAATAGCATATTGGTATGAAATAAAATAAAAAATTTTGGAAGTGTGAGTGTGCACTCATCATGATTAGGGGTGTGAACGATTTGATTTAGAGACAATTTGGGGCCAACTTGATATCGGATCCAATTATTTTTGAACGGGTCGTTTATTGATCCAATAAATTTTGGTCTGATCCAGTGTAGGTTGATTTGATTTTCGAGCTGGCTCAAATGTCATTTTTGGCTCATGAATCAAATCGGTTTGACTCGATACTCTCCTTGGCCTAGGCCAGCTCAATAGAAAAAAAAAAATATTTTTGGGAAAAGAGGGGATTCAAACTCGTCATTCCGGTCAAGCAAAATAAATTTCACCAATTGAGCTCGTTATTCATAATGCATGTAAAATTAAAAATTTAGGTGTTATATAAGCAAATGCATAAAAATTTATTTCGATCCCAATTAGTAAAATAAATTTGATCATTTAATTTGGCTCATAGCTCGGCTTGAATGGTTCAATTCGAGCTAAAATTCAATCTGATTTACGAGCGTTTCACCATCTTAGAGCCAATTTCACTACCCTAATCATGATTAGAAAATAAAAGGTTTTAGCTCAATTAAGAAAATATTAAAATTTTAAATTATTTTAAATAAATTATATTTAAAAAATAACATTGTCATTATTTTATTAGTAGAGCAAAAAAATATATATAAGGATGAAACTTGTAAAATGAAGGTTAGCACGTCTCGTCCCCTATCTTAAGACAATGCTCTCTAAGTTCATCCACTGTGATCATTTTATTCACACATTCTTTGCCCCTACAGCGTTGCCATTATCTTGTCACCATTGCTCCTACTGCCCGTGCTAAATAAAACTAATCAAGCTCGAGTCCCTCTATACTCGACTCGACTTTTGAGATATATGATTGGTTTAAGCTCGAGTTTGACTCGAGAACTCGAGCTCCTAATCTGACCTCAAACTCGGCTTGTGGCGATTATGTCTGACTCGACTTTGACTCGAAAGCTAGTTTTTGAGTTTAGTTATGAAGATTCTTTCAAAAAAATATATTAAAAATTAATGAAATAGTAAAACAAAAAAAAATTCCAAAGTGTGAGTTTAAGGAATTAACCAATAATTTAATTAATATATTCGAGCTGACTTGACAAACTCACGAGTCTAGTCAAGCTAAGCACGAGCTCAAGCCTGTATAATAAATGAGCTTGAATCTAAGCTCAAGTTTGAGCTCATTGCTCAATAAACTCAACTTGTGAGCTCTTAATTAGTCGAGCTTAAGTTGGCTCAGCTCACTTGCAAGCGTATCCCACGCCATCCAATTCCTTAATTTTATAAACATAAAAGAATACTAGTTTGATATGTTATTTAAAAATTTATCTCATAAAACAAATATTAAATTTTAGTTTTTAATATATATATATATATATACTGTGGTATGTACACAAATCCCCCAATTTTAAAAAAAGAGGGCTTACATAAAATATCACATAATTTTTATGTATTTTTATATCCATCACCTAAGATTTTATATTTATATGCATAACACTCCAATTTTAAAAATTAAATCTAAAATATTACTATTACTAAAATTTAAAAGTGAAATAGATAGTTAATGCATTAGTTTATAACTCTAAAGTTTTATAAATATAAATATTAATTTTTAAGTGTTAGATATCTTAATACATAGGGATTATATCTTAATACATATATCAAGTTTTGAGTTTATTTGACTTACATATATATATATATATATATATATATATATATAT